TCTCTCCTCTCTCCTCCTCCTCTCTCTCCTCCTCTCTCCTCTCCTCTCTCTCTCTCTCCTCTCTCTCCCTCTCCTCTCTCCTCCTCTCTCTCCTCTCTCCTCTCCTCCTCTCTCTCCTCCCTCTCCTCCTCTCTCCCTCTCTCTCTCTCTCCTCTCTCTCTCCTCCTCTCTCTCTCCTCCTCCCTCTCTCCTCCCTCCTCTCTCCCTCTCTCCTCTCTCCTCTCTCTCCCTCCTCTCTCCTCTCTCTCCCTCTCTCCTCTCTCTCCTCTCTCTCCTCTCCTCTCTCTCCTCTCCTCTCTCCTCTCCTCTCTCTCTCCTCTCCTCTCTCTCTCTCCTCCTCTCATCCTCCATCTCTCCTCTCTCTCCTCCCTCTCCTTCTCCTGCTCCTCCTCTCTCCTCTCTCCTCCTCCTCTCCTCTCCTCTCCTCTCACTCCCTCTTCGCCTCCTCCTCCTCCTCTCTCTCCCTCTCTCACTCTCTCTCCCTCCTCCCTCCTCTCTCTCCTCTCCACTCTCCTTCTCTCCTCCTCTCTCTCCCTCTCCTCCGCCTCTCCTCTCTCCTCTCCTCCTCCACTCGTCTCATCTCCTCTTCTCTCTCCCTCTCTCCTCCTCTCTCTCCTCTCTCCCTCTCTCTCCTCCTCTCCCTCTCTCTCCTCTCTCCCTCCTCTCTACTCTCCTCTCTCTCTCTCTCTCCTCTCGCCTCTCCCTCTCGTCCTCTCTCCTCTCGCTCTCCGTCTCCTCCTGTCTCCTCCTCTTCTCTCTCTCCTCCTCCTCTCTTCCTCTCCTCTTCTCTCCTCCTCTCTCTCCTCTCTCCTCTTCCTCTCTCCCTCGCATCTCTCTCCACTCTCCTCTCCCTCTCTCATCTCCCACTTCTCTCCCACTCCTCCCTCTCTCTCCCCTCCCCTCTCTTCCTCTCTCTCTCTCCTCTCCTCTCCGTCTCTCCCCTCACCTCTTCCTCCTCTCTCCTCTCTCGTCTCTCCCTCTCTCGTCCTCCTCTCTTCATCGTCTCTCCTCCTCTCGGACTCTCTCTCTCTCCGCTCCGCCTCCCTCTCGTCCGTCTCTCTCTCTCCTCCTCACTCTCTCGCTCCTCCTCCTCTCTCCTCTCTCTCTCCGTCTCCTCTCTCTCTCCTCCTCTCCCTCCTCCCTCCCCTCTCTTCCTCCTCCCTCCTCCTCTCCTCTCCGTCTCTCTCCTCCTCTCTCCTCTCTCTCTCCTCTCCTCCTCATCCTCTCCTCCTCCCCCATCTCAGCGACTTTCATCCTCTCTCTCCTCGTTCCTCTCCTCATCACTCTCCCCTCTACTCCCTCGTCTCTCTCTCATCCTTCCCTCCTCTCTCCTCCCTCTCTCGCGACTTCCTCCTCTCCTCTCTCTCCTCTCCTCCTCCTCTCTCTCGCATCTCCTACCTCTCCTCTCTCCCCTCTCTTCCCCCGTCTCCTCACTCACGATCTCTCTCGCCCATCTGCTCTCCCCTCTCAATCGTCCTCTCTCTCTCTCCCATCTCTCTCTCACAGTACCACCCTCTCTTCCTCTCCCTCGCTCCATCAACTCTCTCTCTCTCTCTCTCCTCTCTCCTCCTCGCATCTCCTCTCACGTAACTCCCGTCTCTCCTCTCACTCTCCTCCCCACACTCTCCTCTCTCCATCATCATCCTCTCTCCTCTCTACCGCTCCTCTCTCACTCAGCGTCATCTCTCTCGTCTCTCACAGGACTCTCTCTCACCTCATCACTCTCCTGTCTCCTGTCTCTGGGGTGCTCTCCGCAAGGGTCTCGTCCATCCTTCTCTCGATCTCTCTCTCTCATCTCTCTCCTGGGGGGGTCCGCAAGGGTCATATCTCCACTGTTTTTGTTTTATCTGTTGCCATTAGGAGCGATCCTCCGGCGGTTTGTGTGTCATTCCACCGACTCGTCTGGACTATTGCACAGACGAGTGTGTGTGTGTGACTTTCTCTCACTCTCTCTCTGGTCTCTCTCTGGTCTCTCTCTCTGGTCTCACTCTGGTCTCTCTCTGGTCTCTCTCTGGTCTCTCTCTGGTCTCTCTCTCTGGTCTCTCTCTGGTCTCTCTCTGGTCTCTCTCTCTGGTCTCTCTCTGGTCTCTCTCTGGTCTCTCTCTGGTCTCTCTCTGGTCTCTCTCTGGTCTCTCTCTCTGGTCTCTCTCTGGTCTCTCTCTGGTCTCTCTCTGGTCTCTCTCTGGTCTCTCTCTGGTCTCTCACTCTGGTCTCTCTCTGGTCTCTCTCTGGTCTCTCTCTCTGGTCTCTCTCTGGTCTCTCTCTGGTCTCTCTCTGGTCTCTCTCTCTGGTCTCTCTCTGGTCTCTCTCTGGTCTCTCTCTGGTCTCTCTCTGGTCTCTCTCTGGTCTCTCTCTGGTCTCTCTCTCTGGTCTCTCTCTGGTCTCTCTCTGGTGTCTCTCTGGTGTCTCTCTGGTCTCTCTCTGGTCTCTCTCTGGTCTCTCTCTGGTCTCTCTCTGGTCTCTCTCTGGTGTCTCTCTGGTCTCTCTCTGGTCTCTCTCTGGTCTCTCTCTCTGGTCTCTCTCTGGTCTCTCTCTGGTCTCTCTCTGGTGTCTCTCTGGTCTCTCTCTGGTCTCTCTCTGGTCTCTCTCTCTGGTCTCTCTCTGGTGTCTCTCTGGTCTCTCTCTGGTCTCTCTCTGGTCTCTCTCTCTGGTCTCTCTCTGGTGTCTCTCTGGTGTCTCTCTGGTCTCTCTCTGGTCTCTCTCTGGTCTCTCTCTCTGGTCTCTCTCTGGTCTCTCTCTGGTGTCTCTCTGGTGTCTCTCTGGTCTCTCTCTGGTCTCTCTCTGGTCTCTCTCTGGTCTCTCTCTCTGGTCTCTCTCTGGTCTCTCTCTGGTGTCTCTCTGGTCTCTCTCTGGTCTCTCTCTGGTCTCTCTGGTCTCTCTCTCTTTGGTCTCCAACCCTCAGTTTCACCTGTGGAACACTCTGGTCCTTGGTGCAGGCTGATGCGGCTGCAGCAGTGGCGGTGATGGGAGAGTTTCTGGAGCTCGTGTTCCCAGGAACAGCTGGACTCTTTTGGGGTTTGGGTTTGACCTCTGGGGGCTGTCGTGGAGGTTTGCTCATGGGCACCTTCTCTCTCTCCTGCTGAACACAAGGAGACATATCTACAGCCTCAGTCCTGGGTCTACCGCTTCAGTCCTGGGTCTACAGCCTCAGTCCTGGGTCTACAGCCTCAGTCCTGGGTCTGCAGCCTCAGTCCTGGGTCTGCAGCCTCAGTCCTGGGTCTACCTCAGTCCTGGGTCTACAGCCTCAGTCCTGGGTCTACAGCCTCAGTCCTGGGTCTGCAGCCTCAGTCCTGGGTCTACAGCCTCGGTCCTGGGTCTACAGTCTCAGTCCTGGGTCTACAGCCTCAGTCCTGGGTCTACAGCCTCAGTCCTGGGTCTACAGCCTCAGTCCTGGGTCTGCAGCCTCAGTCCTGGGTCTACAGCCTCAGTCCTGGGTCTGCAGCCTCAGTCCTGGGTCCACAGCCTCAGTCCAGAATCTAAAGCCTCAGTCCTGGGTCTACAGCCTCAGTCCTGGGTCTACTGCCTCAGTACTGGGTCTGCAGCCTCAGTCCTGGGTCTGCAGCCTCAGTCCTGGGTCTACAGCCTCAGTCCTGGGTCTGCAGCCTCAGTTCTGGGTCTACAGCCTCACAGTCTCAGTCCTGGGTCTACAGCCTCACAGCCTCAGTCCTGGGTCTACAGCCTCAGTCCTGGGTCTACAGCCTCAGTCCTGGGTCTGCAGCCTCAGTCCTGGGTCTACAGCCTCACAGCCTCAGTCCTGGGTCTACAGCCTCAGTCCTGGGTCTACAGCCTCAGTCCTGGGTCTGCAGCCTCAGTCCTGGGTCTGCAGCCTCAGTCCTGGGTCTACAGCCTCAGTCCTGGGTCTACAGCCTCAGTCCTGGGTCTACAGCCTCAGTCCTGGGTCTACAGCCTCAGTCCTGGGTCTGCAGCCTCAGTCCTGGGTCTACAGCCTCACAGTCTCAGTCCTGGGTCTACAGCCTCAGTCCTGGGTCTACAGCCTCACAGTCTCAGTCCTGGGTCTACAGCCTCACAGCCTCAGTCCTGGGTCTACAGCCTCAGTCCTGGGTCTACAGCCTCAGTCCTGGGTCTGCAGCCTCAGTCCTGGGTCTGCAGCCTCAGTCCTGGGTCTGCAGCCTCAGTCCTGGGTCTGCAGCCTCAGTCCTGGGTCTACAGCCTCAGTCCTGGGTCTGCAGCCTCAGTCCTGGGTCTACAGCCTCAGTCCTAGGTCTACAGCCTCAGTCCTGGGTCTACAGCCTCAGTCCTGGGTCTACAGCCTCAGTCCTGGGTCTGCAGCCTCAGTCCTGGGTCTGCAGCCTCAGTCCTGGGTCTACAGCCTCAGTCCTGGGTCTACAGCCTCAGTCCTGGGTCTGCAGCCTCAGTCCTGGGTCTACAGCCTCAGTCCTGGGTCTGCAGCCTCAGTCCTGGGTCTACAGCCTCAGTCCTAGGTCTACAGCCTCAGTCCTGGGTCTACAGCCTCAGTCCTGGGTCTACAGCCTCAGTCCTGGGTCTACAGCCTCAGTCCTGGGTCTGCAGCCTCAGTCCTGGGTCTACAGCCTCAGTCCTGGGTCTACAGCCTCAGTCCTGGGTCTGCAGCCTCAGTCCTGGGTCTGCAGCCTCAGTCCTGGGTCTACAGCCTCAGTCCTGGGTCTACAGCCTCAGACCTGGGTCTACAGCCTCAGTCCTGGGTCTGCAGCCTCAGTCCTGGGTCTACAGCCTCAGTCCTGGGTCTGCAGCCTCAGTCCTGGGTCTGCAGCCTCAGTCCTGGGTCTGCAGCCTCAGTCCTGGGTCTACAGCCTCAGTCCTGGGTCTACAGCCTCAGTCCTGGGTCTACAGCCTCAGTCCTGGGTCTGCAGCCTCAGTCCTGGGTCTACAGCCTCAGTCCTGGGTCTGCAGCCTCAGTCCTGGGTCTGCAGCCTCAGTCCTGGGTCTGCAGCCTCAGTCCTGGGTCTACAGCCTCAGTCCTGGGTCTACAGCCTCAGACCTGGGTCTACAGCCTCAGTCCTGGGTCTACAGCCTCAGTCCTGGTCTACAGCCTCAGACCTGGGTCTACAGCCTCAGTCCTGGGTCTGCAGCCTCAGACCTGGGTCTACAGCCTCAGTCCTGGGTCTACAGCCTCAGTCCTGGGTCTGCAGCCTCAGTCCTGGGTCTACAGCCTCAGTCCTGGGTCTACAGCCTCAGTCCTGGGTCTACAGCCTCAGTCCTGGGTCTGCAGCTTCAGTCCTGGGTCTACAGCCTCAGAGTGTGTGTTTTTACCTGAGGTTTCACAGAGTGCTCTGATAAACCACTGGACTGAACCTCAAACCTGTTGAAACACAAATACTACACATTTACTTTATACTGTATGTGTGTGTGTGTGTGTGTATACTGTATGTGTGTGTGTGTATACTGTATGTGTGTGTGTGTGTGTGTGTGTGTATTACTGTATGTGTGTGTGTGTGTGTGTGTGTGTGTGTATACTGTATGTGTGTGTGTGTGTGTGTGTGTGTGTGTGTGTGTATACTGTATGTGTGTGTGTGTGTGTGTGTGTGTGTGTGTGTGTATACTGTATGTGTGTGTGTGTGTGTGTGTGTGTGTGTATACTGTATGTGTGTGTGTGTGTGTGTGTGTGTGTGTATACTGTATGTGTGTGTGTATACTGTATGTGTGTGTGTGTGTGTGTATACTGTATGCCTGTGTGTGTGTTTGTGTGTATACTGTATGCCTGTGTGTGTGTTTGTGTGTATACTGTATGCCTGTGTGTGTGTTTGTGTGTATACTGTATGCCTGTGTGTGTGTTTGTGTGTATACTGTATGTGTGTGTGTATACTATGTGTGTGTGTGTGTATACTGTATACTGTATGTGTGTGTGTGTATACTATATGTGTGTGTGTGCGTGTATGTATACTATATGTGTGTGTGTGCGTGTATGTATACTGTATGTGTGTGTGTGTGTATACTGTATGTGTGTGTGTATACTGTATTTGTGTGTATGTGCTGTATATGTGTGTGTGTGTGTATACTGTATGTGTGTGTGTGTATACTATATGTGTGTGTGTGTATACTATATGTGTATGTGTGTGTGTATACTGTATGTGTGTGTGTATACTATATGTGTGTGTATACTGTATGTGTGTGTGGGTGTTTACTGTATGTGTGTGTGTGCTGTATATGTGTGTGTGTGTGTGTGCTGTATATGTGTGTGTGTGTGTGTGTGTATACTGTATGTGTGTGTGTGTATACTGTATGTGTGTGTGTGTGTATACTGTATGTGTGTGTGTGTGTGTGTGTGTATACTGTATGTGTGTGTGTGTGTATACTGTATGTGTGTGTGTGTGTGTGTGTGTGTGTGTATACTGTATGTGTGTGTGTGTGTGTATACTGTATGCCTGTGTGTGTGTTTGTGTGTATACTGTATGCCTGTGTGTGTGTTTGTGTGTATACTGTATGCCTGTGTGTGTGTTTGTGTGTATACTGTATGCCTGTGTGTGTGTTTGTGTGTATACTGTATGTGTGTGTGTATACTATGTGTGTGTGTGTGTATACTGTATACTGTATGTGTGTGTGTGTATACTATATGTGTGTGTGTGCGTGTATGTATACTGTATGTGTGTGTGTGTGTATACTGTATGTGTGTGTGTATACTGTATTTGTGTGTATGTGCTGTATATGTGTGTGTGTGTATACTGCATGTGTGTGTGTGTATACTATATGTGTGTGTGTGTATACTATATGTGTATGTGTGTGTGTATACTGTATGTGTGTGTGTATACTATATGTGTGTGTATACTGTATGTGTGTGTGGGTGTTTACTGTATGTGTGTGTGTGCTGTATATGTGTGTGTGTGTGTGTGCTGTATATGTGTGTGTGTGTGTGTGTGTGTATACTGTATGTGTGTGTGTGTATACTGTATGTGTGTGTGTGTGTATACTGTATGTGTGTGTGTGTGTGTGTGTGTGTGTGTATACTGTATGTGTGTGTGTGTGTGTGTATACTGTATGCCTGTGTGTGTGTTTGTGTGTATACTGTATGCCTGTGTGTGTGTTTGTGTGTATACTGTATGCCTGTGTGTGTGTTTGTGTGTATACTGTATGCCTGTGTGTGTGTTTGTGTGTATACTGTATACTGTATGTGTGTGTGTATACTATATGTGTGTGTGTGCGTGTATGTATACTGTATGTGTGTGTGTGTGTATACTGTATTTTTGTGTATGTGCTGTATATGTGTGTGTGTGTGTGCTGTATATGTGTGTGTGTGTGTGTGTGTATACTGTATGTGTGTGTGTATACTGTATGTGCGTGTGTGTGTGTGTGTATACTGTATGTGTTTGTGTGTGTGTGCGACCTTTGAGGAGGCGTTGTGTTTCCGTTGCTACATCTGATTTTTGAAGCTGGAGAAAAACACAAATAAAAACTCAAACTAAATGTTACTTTTACTCTTTCCATTTGAACTCACGTCTCTCTGGGCGACGGACGCCGGAGTCCACATGGTGTGTGTGTGTCTGGTCTGTGTGTGTCTGGTGTGTGTGTGTCTGGTGTGTGTGTGTCTGGTCTGTGTGTGTCTGGTCTGTGTGTGTCTGGTCTGTGTCTGTTTGTCCTGTGTGTGTGTGGTTTTTGTGTGTTTCCTGTGTGTGAGTGTTGTCTGTAGTTGACTTGTGTGGCTCAACTCCGACTGTTTCTGTAAAAAATCAAAAACTTTAAATTGTAAATTATTTTGCTGAGACAAGAAGACGTCTGGTACCTGTGCTCGTCTCTGGGTCGGACCCGGGATCCTGGGTCAGACTTTGGTCTGAGGACTCGGAGGACTGGGACTGGTCCGAGTCTGGAGCCACGCTGCCGTCTGGGGTCAACCTGACGATCTCCTGCCATCAGAACCAGAACCAGAACCAGATTTGTTTTTATTCCATTGTGAGAAACAGAAAGTCACAAACTGGGAGTGGGCAACACTGTACCTGTGCTGAGCTCACAGGTACAGAGGCTGAAGCCGCAGACGCCCCGGGACCACAGCTGTTCTCTGGACCTCTGAAGGAGGAGCGAGGCCGAGGTCTGGGAGAGACCTGGACCTGGTCTTCTCTGGACCGGACCAAAGACTCAGACACACTCCTGAGGAAGAGCATAGGCCTCATCGGTGTGTGTGTGTGTGTGTGTGTGTGTCTGTGTGTGTCTGTGTGTGTGTGTGTGTGTGTGTGTGTGTGTCTGTGTGTGTCTGTCTGTGTGTGTGTGTGTGTGTGTGTGTCTGTGTGTGTCTGTCTGTGTGTGTGTGTGTGTGTGTGTGTCTGTGTGTGTCTGTCTGTGTGTGTGTGTGTGTGTGTGTGTGTCTGTGTGTGTGTGTGTGTGTGTGTGTGTGTGTGTGTGTGTGTGTGTGTGTGTGTGTGTGTGTGTGTGTGTGTCTGTGTGTGTGTGTGTGTGTGTGTGTGTCTGTGTGTGTCTGTGTGTGTGTGTGTGTGTCTGTGTGTGTGTGTGTGTGTGTGTGTGTCTGTGTGTCTGTGTGTGTCTGTCTGTGTGTGTGTGTGTGTGTGTGTGTGTGTGTGTGTCTGTGTGTGTGTCTGTCTGTGTCTGTGTGTGTGTGTGTGTGTCTGTGTGTGTGTGTGTGTGTGTGTCTGTGTGTCTGTGTGTGTGTGTGTGTGTGTGTGTCTGTGTTGTCTGTGTGTCTGTGTGTGTCTGTCTGTGTGTGTGTGTGTGTGTGTGTGTGTCTGTGTGTGTCTGTCTGTGTGTGTGTGTGTGTACCTGTGTAGTGTGCTGAGATCCTCTGTGAGATTCCGGATGCGACACAACATGGCGTCCATCTGAAGAGGCTCCTCCTTCAGGAACCGAACCAACTCCATCTCCAACCGCAGCACGGAGCACATACGACTCTGTAGACCTGGAAACCCACCTGGACAGACCACAGACCGGTCTACAGCCTCAGTCCTGGGTCTACAGCCTCAGTCCTGGGTCTACAGCCTCAGTCCTGGGTCTACAGCCTCAGTCCTGGGTCTACAGCCTCAGTCCTGGGTCTACAGCCTCAGTCCTGGGTCTACAGCCTCAGTCCTGGTCTACAGCCTCAGTCCTGGGTCTACAGCCTCAGTCCTGGGTCTACAGCCTCAGTCCTGGTCTACAGCCTCAGTCCTGGGTCTACAGCCTCAGTCCTGGGTCTACAGCCTCAGTCCTGGGTCTACAGCCTCAGTCCTGGTCTACAGTCTCAGTCCTGGGTCTACAGCCTCAGTCCTGGGTCTACAGCCTCAGTCCTGGGTCTACAGCCTCAGTCCTGGGTCTACAGCCTCAGTCCTGGGTCTACAGCCTCAGTCCTGGGTCTACAGCCTCAGTCCTGGGTCTACAGCCTCAGTCCTGGTCTACAGCCTCAGTCCTGGGTCTACAGCCTCAGTCCTGGGTCTACAGCCTCAGTCCTGGGTCTACAGCCTCAGTCCTGGGTCTACAGCCTCAGTCCTGGTCTACAGCCTCAGTCCTGGGTCTACAGCCTCAGTCCTGGGTCTACAGCCTCAGTCCTGGGTCTACAGCCTCAGTCCTGGGTCTACAGCCTCAGTCCTGGGTCTACAGCCTCAGTCCTGGTCTACAGCCTCAGTCCTGGGTCTACAGCCTCAGTCCTGGTGTAGTGTTGTACCTTTGAGCAAAGCCATGTCCTGTCCGATCTTCCTCAGACTGACAGCTGCCAGTTCCACGTCTCCAAGACTCACAGACCCGGGACCAGAACCCAGGGACTTCTGTAGACCACCCACGAAGTCCTCCAGGGAGCTGAGAGAGAGACCAGAATGTGACATAACACCTGAGGGCTACACAACATCACACAGAGCTACACAACATCACACCTGAGGGCAACACAACATCTTGTGTCGACACAGGGAGAACATGCAAACTACAATTTGAACCCAGCGAACGTCTGTCTGTGTGTGTGTGAAACTGAGACTGAGGCTGAGACTGAGGCTGAGACTGAGACTGAGACTGAGGCAGAGACTGAGACTGAGAGTGAAGAGACTGAGACTGAGGCTGAGACTGAGACTGAGACTGAGACTGAGAGACTGAGACTGAGACTGAGCTGAGACTGAGGCTGAGGCTGAGACTGAGGAGACTGAGACTGAGACTGAGACTGAAGAGACTGAGACTGAGGCTGAGGCTGAGACTGAGGCTGAGACTGAGGCTGAGGCTGAGACTGAGACTGAGACTGAGACTGAAGAGACTGAGACTGAGACTGAGGCTGAGGCTGAGACTGAGACTGAGACTGAGACTGAGACTGAGACTGAGACTGAAGAGACTGAGACTGAGGCTGAGGCTGAGACTGAGGCTGAGACTGAGGCTGAGACTGAGACTGAGACTGAGACTGAAGAGACTGAGGCTGAGGCTGAGGCTGAGGCTGAGACTGAGGCTGAGGCTGAGACTGAGGCTGAGACTGAGGCTGAGACTGAGACTGAGACTGAGACTGAGACTGAAGAGACTGAGACTGAGACTGAGGCTGAGGCTGAGACTGAGACTGAGGCTGAGGCTGAGACTGAGGCTGAGGCTGAGACTGAGACTGAGGCTGAGGCTGAGACTGAGGAGCTGAGGCTGAGACTGAGACTGAGACTGAGGCTGAGACTGAGGCTGAGCTGAGACTGAGGCTGAGACTGAGGCTGAGACTGAGACTGAGACTGAGGCAGAGACTGAGACTGAGACTGAAGAGACTGAGACTGAGACTGAGACTGAAGAGACTGAGACTGAGGCTGAGACTGAGGCTGAGACTGAGACTGAGACTGAGGCTGAGACTGAGGCTGAGACTGAGGCTGAGGCTGAGACTGAGGCTGAGACTGAGACTGAGACTGAGACTGAAGAGACTGAGACTGAGACTGAGACTGAGACTGAGCTGACTGAGACTGAGGCTGAGACTGAGGCTGAGGCTGAGACTGAGGCTGAGACTGAGACTGAGACTGAGACTGAAGAGACTGAGACTGAGGCTGAGGCTGAGACTGAGACTGAGACTGAGCTGAGGCTGAGGCTGAGACTGAGGCTGAGACTGAGGCTGAGGCTGAGACTGAGGCTGAGGCTGAGGCTGAGGCTGAGACTGAGGCTGAGGCTGAGACTGAGGCTGAGGCTGAGACTGAGGCTGAGACTGAGACTGAGGCTGAGGCTGAGGCTGAGACTGAGGCTGAGGCTGAGGCTGAGACTGAGACTGAGGCTGAGACTGAGGCTGAGGCTGAGGCTGAGACTGAGACTGAGACTGAGACTGAGGAGGTGAGGCTGAGACTGAGACTGAGACTGAGACTGAGGCTGAGGCTGAGGCTGAGACTGAGGCTGAGACTGAGACTGAGACTGAGGCTGAGGCTGAGGCTGAGGCTGAGGCTGAGACTGAGACTGAGACTGAGGCTGAGGCTGAGGCTGAGGCTGAGGCTGAGGCTGAGACTGAGACTGAGGCTGAGACTGAGGCTGAGGCTGAGGCTGAGACTGAGGCTGAGACTGAGACTGAGACTGAGGCTGAGACTGAGGCTGAGGCTGAGGCTGAGACTGAGACTGAGACTGAGACTGAGGCTGAGGCTGAGGCTGAGACTGAGACTGAGACTGAGGCTGAGGCTGAGACTGAAGCTGAGGCTGAGGCTGAGACTGAGACTGAGACTGAGACTGAGGCTGAGGCTGAGGCTGAGGCTGAGGCTGAGGCTGAGACTGAGACTGAGGCTGAGACTGAGACTGAGGCTGAGACTGAGACTGAGACTGAGACTGAGACTGAGGCTGAGGCTGAGGCTGAGACTGAGACTGAGACTGAGACTGAGGCTGAGGCTGAGGCTGAGGCTGAGGCTGAGACTGAGGCTGAGAGAGGCTGAGGCTGAGAGGCTGAGGCTGAGGCTGAGACTGAGACTGAGGCTGAGACTGAGACTGAGACTGAGACTGAGACTGAGGCTGAGGCTGAGGCTGAGACTGAGGCTGAGGCTGAGACTGAGGCTGAGGCTGAGACTGAGACTGAGGCTGAGGCTGAGACTGAGGCTGAGACTGAGACTGAGACTGAGGCTGAGGCTGAGACTGAGGCTGAGACTGAGGCTGAGACTGAGACTGAGACTGAGGCAGAGACTGAGACTGAGACTGAAGAGACTGAGACTGAGACTGAGACTGAAGAGACTGAGACTGAGGCTGAGACTGAGGCTGAGACTGAGACTGAGGCTGAGGCTGAGACTGAGGCTGAGGCTGAGACTGAGACTGAGGCTGAGGCTGAGGCTGAGGCTGAGGCTGAGACTGAGCTGAGGCTGAGGCTGAGACTGAGGATGAGACTGAGGCTGAGACTGAGACTGAGACTGAGGCAGAGACTGAGACTGAGACTGAAGAGACTGAGACTGAGACTGAGACTGAAGAGACTGAGACTGAGGCTGAGACTGAGGCTGAGACTGAGACTGAGACTGAGGCTGAGACTGAGGCTGAGACTGAGGCTGAGGCTGAGACTGAGGCTGAGACTGAGACTGAGACTGAGACTGAAGAGACTGAGACTGAGACTGAGACTGAGACTGAGGCTGAGACTGAGGCTGAGACTGGAGGCTGAGGCTGAGACTGAGGCTGAGACTGAGACTGAAGAGACTGAGACTGAGGCTGAGGCTGAGACTGAGACTGAGACTGAGACTGAGACTGAAGAGACTGAGACTGAGGCTGAGGCTGAGGCTGAGACTGAGACTGAGACTGAGCTGAGGCTGAGGCTGAGACTGAGGCTGAGGCTGAGGCTGAGACTGAGGCTGAGACTGAGGCTGAGGCTGAGACTGAGGCTGAGACTGAGACTGAGGCTGAGGCTGAGGCTGAGGCTGAGACTGAGACTGAGGCTGAGGCTGAGGCTGAGACTGAGGCTGAGGCTGAGGCTGAGACTGAGAGACTGAGGCTGAGGCTGAGGCTGAGACTGAGACTGAGACTGAGACTGAGACTGAGGCTGAGACTGAGACTGAGACTGAGACTGAGGCTGAGGCTGAGACTGAGACTGAGACTGAGACTGAGACTGAGGCTGAGGCTGAGACTGAGACTGAGCTGAGGCTGAGGCTGAGACTGAAGCTGAGGCTGAGACTGAGACTGAGACTGAGACTGAGACTGAGACTGAGGCTGAGGCTGAGACTGAGGCTGAGACTGAGGTTGAGGCTGAGGCTGAAGAGACTGACTGAGACTGGCTGAGACTGAGGAGACTGAGACTGAGGCTGAGGCTGAGGCTGAGACTGAGACTGAGACTGAGACTGAGACTGAGGCTGAGGCTGAGGCTGAGACTGAGACTGAGGCTGAGGCTGAGACTGAGGCTGAGGCTGAGGCTGAGACTGAGGCTGAGGCTGAGGCTGAGGCTGAGACTGAGGCTGAGACTGAGACTGAGACTGAGGCTGAGACTGAGACTGAGACTGAGACTGAGACTGAGGCTGAGGCTGAGGCTGAGGCTGAGACTGAGGCTGAGACTGAGACTGAGACTGAGACTGAGACTGAGACTGAAGAGACTGAGACTGAGGCTGAGGCTGAGACTGAGACTGAGCTGAGGCTGAGGCTGAGGCTGAGACTGAGGCTGAGACTGAGGCTGAGACTGAGACTGAGGCTGAGACTGAGACTGAGACTGAGACTGAGGCTGAGACTGAGGCTGAGGCTGAGACTGAGGCTGAGACTGAGACTGAGGCTGAGGCTGAGGCTGAAGAGACTGAGGCTGAGGCTGAGGCTGAGACTGAGACTGAGACTGAGACTGAGACTGAGGCTGAGGCTGAGGCTGAGACTGAGACTGAGACTGAGACTGAGACTGAGACTGAGGCTGAGGCTGAGGCTGAGACTGAGACTGAGGCTGAGGCTGAGGCTGAGGCTAAGACTGAGGCTGAGGCTGAGGCTGAGGCTGAGACTGAGGCTGAGACTGAGACTGAGGCTGAGGCTGAGACTGAGGCTGAGACTGAGACTGAGGCTGAGACTGAGACTGAGACTGAGACTGAGACTGAGACTGAGACTGAGGCTGAGGCTGAGGCTGAGACTGAAGAGAAACTAAAATGTCACGTCGTCCTTTGTCTTGTGTCGCTCTGAGACACTGCTGCTCTTTTCACACATCACTGATTCAGACTGAGGCTCCTGGTCTTGGTCCTGGTCCTAGTCCTGGTCTTGGTCCTGGTCCTAGTCCTGGTCTTGGTCCTGGTCTTGGTCCTAGTCCTAGTCCTGGAGCTCATTAAAACATAGTCCTGTGGTCACATGACCTACTGCAAATAACCTCACATAGAGGAGGGAGGAGAGAGGAGAGAGGAGAGAGGAGAGAGGAGGGAGGAGGGAGGAGGGAGGAGAGAGGGAGGAGGGAGGAGGGAGGAGGGAGGAGAGAGGGAGGAGGGAGGAGAGACGAGAGAGGAGAGGAGGAGGGAGGAGGGAGGAGGGAGGAGAGAGAGAGGGAGGAGGGAGGAGGGAGGAGAGAGGGGGGAGGGGGAGGAGAGAGGGAGGAGGGAGGAGGGAGGAGGGAGAGGAGGAGGAGGGAGGAGGGAGGAGAGGAGGGGGGAGGGAGGAGGGAGGAGGGAGGAGAGAGGGGGGAGGGGGAGGAGAGAGGGGGGAGAGAGGGAGAGAGAGAGAGAGGAGGGAGGAGGGAGGAGGAGGGAGGAGAGAGGGGGGGAGGGAGGAGGGAGGGGGAGGAGAGAGGGGGGGAGGGGGAGGAGAGAGGGGGGAGAGAGGGAGGAGAGAGAGAGGAGGGAGGAGGGAGGAGGGAGGAGAGAGGCGGAGGAGGGAGGGATACAGACACAGGAGCAGACACAGACACAGGTGCAGACAGAGGAGCAGACACAGGTGCAGACACAGGTGCAGACACAGGTGCAGACACAGGAGCAGACACAGGTGCAGACACAGGTGCAGACACAGATACCGACACAGGAGCAGACACAGGTGCAGACACAGGAGCAGACACAGGTGCAGACACAGATACCGACACAGGAGCAGACACAGGTGCAGACACAGGTGCAGACACAGATACCGACACAGGAGCAGACACAGGTGCAGACACAGGAGCAGACACAGGTGCAGACACAGGAGCAGACACAGGTGCAGACACAGATACCGACACAGGAGCAGACACAGGTGCAGACACAGGAGCAGACACAGGTGCAGACACAGATACCGACACAGGAGCAGACACAGGTGCAGACACAGGAGCAGACACAGGTGCAGACACAGATACCGACACAGGAGCAGACACAGGTGCAGACACAGGAGCAGACACAGGTGCAGACACAGGTGTAGACACAGGTGCAGACACAGATACCGACACAGGAGCAGACACAGGTGCAGACACAGGAGCAGACACAGGTGCAGACACAGATACCGACACAGGAGCAGAAACAGGTGCAGACACAGGAGCAGACACAGGTGCAGACACAGATACCGATACAGGAGCAGACACAGGTGCAGACACAGGAGCAGACACAGGTACAGACACAGGTGCAGACACAGGTACAGACACAGGTGCAGACACAGGAGCAGACACAGGCACAGACACATGTGTAGACACAGGTACAGACACAGATGCAGACACAGGTACCGACACAGGAGCAGACACAGGTGCAGATACAGGTACAGACACAGGTGTAGACACAGGTGCTCTGACCTGAGCTGGCTGAGGATGTGCTGCTGGCTGCAGCTGTATACTCTCCTCCTGTGTTCCACTTCAGCTCGAGGCCCAGACTCCTGACTCTGCAGCTTCTGCTTCATGAAGGTCAGCAGCTCCTGACCCACGGCCCTCAGCATGGAGCCCACAGCCGCCTGCTGACACAGCTGCAATACACAGACGCCTGCTGACACAGCTGCAATACACAGACGCCTGCTGACACAGCTGCAATACATAGACGCCTGCTGACACAGCTGCAATACACAGACTCCTGCTGACACAGCTGCAATACACAGACGCCTGCTGACACAGCTGCAATACACAGACTCCTGCTGACACAGCTGCAATACACAGACGCCTGCTGACACAGCTGCAATACACAGACGCCTGCTGACACAGCTGCAATACACAGACGCCTGCTGACACAGCTGCAGGACACAGACGCCTGCTGACACAGCTGCAGTACACAGACGCCTGCTGACACAGCTGCAGGACACAGATGCCTGCTGACACAGCTGCAGTACACAGACGCCTGCTGACACAACTGCAGGACACAGACGCCTGCTGACACAGCTGCAATACACAGACGCCTGCTGACACAGCTGCAATACACAGACTCCTGCTGACACAGCTGCAATACACAGACGCCTGCTGACACAGCTGCAATACACAGACGCCTGCTGACACAGCTGCAATACACAGACGCCTGCTGACACAGCTGCAGGACACAGACGCCTGCTGACACAGCTGCAGTACACAGACGCCTGCTGACACAGCTGCAGGACACAGATGCCTGCTGACACAGCTGCAGTACACAGACGCCTGCTGACACAACTGCAGGACACAGACGCCTGCTGACACAGCTGCAATACACAGACTCCTGCTGACACAGCTGCAATACGCAGACGCCTGCTGACACAGCTGCAGGACACAGACGCCTGCTGACACAGCTGCAATACACAGACGCCTGCTGACACAGCTGCAATACACAGGCGCCTGCTGACACAGCTGCAGTACACACCTGCTGACACAGCTGCAGTACACAGGCGCCTGCTGACACAGCTGCAGAACACAGACGCCTGCTGACACAGCTGCAATACACAGACGCCTGCTGACACAGCTGCAGTACACAGACGCCTGCTGATACAGCTGCAGGACACAGATGCCTGCTGACACAGCTGCAGTACACAGACGCCCGCTGACACAGCTGCAGGACACAGACGCCTGCTGACACAGCTGCAATACACAGACTCCTGCTGACACAGCTGCAGTACACAGACGCCTGCTGACACAGCTGCAATAGACAGCCACCTGGGACTGACTGAGACAGAAACAGGCTTCATGAGTTTCCTCCAGAGAGGAGCTCAGTCACACGGGAGGAGCTCGGGGTAGAGCCGTGTGTCCGAGCTCTCCTAACTGTGTGTAGTTCCAGCTCTGACCTGTTGGTGGCGCAGTTGCTCCAGCTGCAGCCGCAGGTCACACACTGTGTGTTTGGCACAACTCAGCTTCTGTGAGAGAGACTCCTGACCCGGCCTCAGCAACACACCCTCTGCAACAGACACACAACACACCACAGACACACACAACAGGCACACAACAGACACACAACAACACACACCAGACACACAACAGACACACACCAACACACAACAGACACACAACAGACATACAACAGACACACAACAGACACACAACAGACATAAAACAGACACACAACATACACAACAGATTATTACACACACCAGATTATTACACACACCAGATTAGAACACACACCAGATTATGACACACACCAGATTAGGACACACACCAGATTATTACACACACCAGATTATGACACACACCAGATTATGACGCACACCAGATTATGAAGCACACCAGATTAGGACACACACCAGATTATGACACACACCAGATTAGGACACACACCAGATTAGGACACACACCAGATTATGACACACCAGATTTGGACACACACCAGATTAGGACACACACCAGATTATGACGCACACCAGGTTATGACGCACACCAGATTAGGACACACACCAGATTAGAACACACACCAGATTAGGACACACACCAGATTATGACGCACACCAGATTATGACACCAGATTAACACTCACTTGGTCTGAAGGGAAGGCGAGGACCATTCTCTCTGAAAAACACAAACTCTTCATATAATGTGTAAAATGACGTTACTACGGTTACCAAAGGCCTTTGAGGCTTCATTCACACAAACCCAGCTCCACGGCTTGTTACGCTGTCATTATGTGACGTGTGTGTTCGAGAAACTGCCTGAACACTCTGTGTTTGGACCGACCTCACGGACCGCAAGGCGGGTTGGAGGCCCAGTGGTTCTGACATACCTGTGGCCTCCTAATGCTTTATGTCCTTCATCCACACTGATGTTCTTACTAGCTACTTAATCCAGACAACACGTAAGAGAGCTACTTAATCCAGACAACATGTAAGAGAGCTACTTAATCCAGACAACACGTAAGAGAGCTACTTAATCCAGACAACACGTAAGAGAGCTACTTAATCCAGACAACACGTAAGAGAGCTACTTAATTCAGACAACACGTAAGAGAGCTACTTAATCCAGATAACATGTAAGAGAGCTACTTAATCCAGACAACATGTAAGAGAGCTACTTAATCCAGACAACACGTAAGAGAGCTACTTAATCCAGATAACATATAAGAGAGCTACTTAATCCAGACAACATGTAAGAGAGCTACTTAATCCAGACAACACGTAAGAGAGCTACTTAATCCAGACAACACGTAAGAGAGCTACTTAATCCAGACAACATATAAGAGAGCTACTTAATCCAGACAACATATAAGAGAGCTACTTAATCCAGACAACACGTAAGAGAGCTACTTAATCCAGACAACATGTAAGAGAGCTACTTAATCCAGACAACACGTAAGAGAGCTACTTAATCCAGACAACACGTAAGAGAGCTACTTAATCCAGACAACACGTAAGAGAGCTACTTAATTCAGACAACACGTAAGAGAGCTACTTAATCCAGACAACATGTAAGAGAGCTACTTAATCCAGACAACATGTAAGAGAGCTACTTACTCCAGACAACATGTAAGAGAGCTACTTACTCCAGACAACATGTAAGAGAGCTACTTAATCCAGACAACATGTAAGAGAGCTACTTAATCCAGACAACACGTAAGAGAGCTACTTAATCCAGACAACACGTAAGAGAGCTACTTAATCCAGACAACATGTAAGAGAGCTACTTAATCCAGACAACAAGTAAGAGAGCTACTTAATCCAGACAACATGTAAGAGAGCTACTTAATCCAGACAACACGTAAGAGAGTTACTTAATCCAGACAACACGTAAGAGAGCTACTTAATTCAGACAACACGTAAGAGAGCTACTTAATCCAGACAACATGTAAGAGAGCTACTTAATCCAGACAACATGTAAGAGAGCTACTTACTCCAGACAACATGTAAGAGAGCTACTTAATCCAGACAACATATAAGAGAGCTACTTAATCCAGACAACACGTAAGAGAGCTACTTAATCCAGACAACAGGTAAGAGAGCTACTTAATCCAGACAACACGTAAGAGAGCTACTTAATCCAGACAACATATAAGAGAGCTACTTAATCCAGACAACATGTAAGAGAGCTACTTAATCCAGACAAAATGTAAGAGAGCTACTTAATCCAGACAACACGTAAGAGAGCTACTTAATCCAGACAACACGTAAGAGAGCTACTTAATCCAGACAACACGTGAGAGAGCTACTTAATCCAGACAACACGTAAGAGAGCTACTTAATCCAGACAACACGTAAGAGAGCTACTTAATCCAGACAACATGTAAGAGAGCTACTTAATCCAGACAACATGTAAGAGAGCTACTTACTCCAGACAACATGTAAGAGAGCTACTTAATCCAGACAACATGTAAGAGAGCTACTTAATCCAGACAACACGTAAGAGAGCTACTTAATCCAGACAACACGTGAGAGAGCTACTTAATCCAGACAACACGTAAGAGAGCTACGTAATCCAGACAACATGTAAGAGAGCTACCTAATCCAGACAACATGTAAGAGAGCTACTTAATCCAGACAACATGTAAGAGAGCTACTTAATCCAGACAACATGTAAGAGAGCTACTTACTCCAGACAACATGTAAGAGAGCTACTTACTCCAGACAACATGTAAGAGAGCTACTCACTCCAGACAACATGTAAGAGAGCTACTTCTACATGAGTCAGCAGACTGAGAATGAGGGGGGTCCTGTTGAAGAGCACAGACTGACCCTGGGTCCTGGAGGTCGGGGGCCTCTCCCACAGACAGGGCTCGATGGACCAGACCGGCCAGACTCGCAATCTGCTCCTCCATCTGCAACATCCGCTCACTGTGGACACACGTTCGGACCGAAGACATGTATGTTAGACTGAACACATGTTAGGACCAAAGACATGTATGTTAGACTGAACACACGTTAGGACCGAATACACGTGTGTTAGGACTGAACACACGTGTGTTAGGACTGAACACACGTGTGTTAGGACTGAACACACGTGTGTTAGGACTGAACACACGTGTGTTAGGACTGAACACACGTTAGGACTGAACACATGTTAGGACTGAACACACGTTAGGACTGAACACATGTATGTTAGGGCCGAACACATGTATGTGAGGGCCGTACACATGTATGTTAGGCCCGAACACATGTATGTTAAGGCCGTACACATGTATGTTAGGGCCATACACATGTATGTTAGGCCCAAACACATGTATGTTAGGGCCAAACACATGTATGTTAGGGCCGAACACATGTATGTTAGGGCCGTACATGTATGTTAGGGCCGTACACATGTATGTTAGGGCCATACACATGTATGTTAGGCCCAAACACATGTATGTTAGGGCCGTACACATGTATGTTAGGGCCGAACACATGTATGTTAGGGCCGAACACATGTATGTTAGGGCCAAACACATGTATGTTAGGGCCAAACACATGTATGTTAGGGCCAAACACATGTATGTTAGGGCCAAACACATGTATGTTAGGGCCAAACACATGTATGTTAGGGCCAAACACATGTATGTTAGGGCCAAACACATGTATGTTAGGGCCAAACACATGTATGTTAGGGCCGAACACATGTATGTTAGGGCCGTACACATGTATGTTAGGGCCGTACACATGTATGTTAGGGCCGAACACATGTATGTTAGGGCCAAACACATGTATGTTAGGGCCAAACACATGTATGTTAGGGCCGAACACATGTATGTTAGGGCCGAACACATGTATGTTAGGGCCGAACACATGTATGTTAGGGCCGAACACATGTATGTTAGGGCCGTACACATGTATGTTAGGGCCGTACACATGTATGTTAGGGCCGAACACATGTATGTTAGGGCCGAACACACCTCTGTGAGCCACTGTTTCTCCCGAACACGTCGTCGCTCAGGGGTTCGTCCACAAACACAGAGGAGTTGGAGGAGCAGGAGCCCAGAATGCGCCCCTTACAGGCCTCTGCTGGGACTGGGTCCAGAGGAGGCCCCACCATGTGACCCCCACTGCTCCGTCTGAGGGGACAAGGAGGAGACTGAGGCCCCAGAGGGACTCCTGCTGGTCCTTAACTGTCATGGTTAGTTCCTGTTTTCTATTGTCCCTGGTCTCCCCTGGTCTTCCCTGGTCTCCCCTGGTCCCTGGTCTCCCCTGGTCTTCCCTGGTCTCCCCTGGTCTTCCCTGGTCTCAGTTACCTGGTGAGAGAGTGGCTCTGTGTCGCCCCCGTGTGGCTGTGCAGAGGTTTGACAGAGGCGTGGAACCTTGGCAGCAGTGCTCCACTGTCCTGCAGCGCCACACAGAGGGAGGGGGGGGCACTGTACTGGGACGTCCTGCCCACAGAGGGGGGGGCACTGCACTGGGACGTCCTGCTCACAGAGGGGGGGGCAGTGCACTGGGACGTCCTGCTCATGGGGGGCACAGGGTCCAGGGCGTGTGGGAGGGCATCAGGGTGAAGCACCAAGGCCAGCTCCGGGCACAGCTCCTCATCTGAAACACACAGTTTGATTCTTTCATCTGGTCGGCCATTTTGTTTCCTTCCGTCTCAGTAACGACAGCGAGCCTGAAATCCAAGCCCCGGTGATCCAAGATGGCGTCCTATTCAAATGAATGGCTTGTGCTCAGTAGTTCATGGGACTTCATAGAGACCAGGTTTAGAGAACGCAATTCTGCGCAATGGATGATCTCCCATGATGCTTTTGGCCAAATACGTGTGTGTGGCTCTCATGCACGTGCACAGAGGAGCTCGGCAGCAGCAGGGCGGAGTCAGAGCGAAAAGGAAAGGAGCAGAGTTTGTGGCACTAAAGTGTGGATTTAAACAAAACCGAAGGATTTAAGAAGAAAAAAAGTTCAGGACGACAAGGAACACTAACATCCCCACAAAATCTGACCTTTGTGAAAGCTGTAGGTTCTCTGTCAGGTTCTCTGTCAGGTTCTCTGTCATGGTTCTCTGTCAGGTTCTCTGTAGGTTCTCTGTCAGGTTCTCTGTCAGGTTCTCTGTAGGTTCTCTGTCAGGTTCTCTGTCAGGTTCTCTGTCAGGTTCTCTGTAGGTTCTCTGTCAGGTTCTCTGTCAGGTTCTCTGTAGGTTCTCTGTCAGGTTCTCTGTCAGGTTCTCTGTCAGGTTCTCTGTCAGGTTCTCTGTAGGTTCTCTGTCAGGTTCTCTGTCAGGTTCTCTGTCAGGTTCTCTGTAGGTTCTCTGTCAGGTTCTCTGTAGGTTCTCTGTAGGTTCTCTGTAGGTTCTCTGTCAGGTTCTCTGTCAGGTTCTCTGTCAGGTTCTCTGTCAGGTTCGCTGTAGGTTCTCTGTAGGTTCTCTGTCAGGTTCTCTGTCAGGTTCGCTGTAGGTTCTCTGTCAGGTTCTCTGTCAGGTTCTCTTTAGGTTCTCTGTCAGGTTCTCTGTAGGTTCTCTGTCAGGTTCTCTGTCAGGTTCTCTGTAGGTTCTCTGTCAGGTTCTCTGTAGGTTCTCTGTCAGGTTCTCTGTCAGGTTCTCTGTCAGGTTCTCTGTCAGGTTCTCTGTCAGGTTCTCTGTCAGGTTCTCTGTAGGTTCTCTGTCAGGTTCTCTGTCAGGTTCTCTGTCAGGTTCTCTGTCAGGTTCTCTGTCAGGTTCTCTGTCAGGTTCTCTGTCAGGTTCTCTGTCAGGTTCTCTGTCAGGTTCTCTGTCAGGTTCTCTGTCAGGTTCTCTGGTCAAGCTGTTTTAGTTTACATTGAGTTCTGTGGGACTTTTTTCTGGGTAGCCCTCGTGAACATAGTCTGCAGTACCACAGCGCCCCCTGTGGCCGTGGGTGGGACAGCTGTAATACTCTATCCAGGTATTATTATAGATCGATGATAAAATCTAAGGCTCCAACTCAGACATGGGCAAAGTACGGCCCGGGAGCCACATCCGGCCCGATCCACATTTTGATGCGGCCCCAAGACTCTTCCCACCTGGTCTCTTCATATTTGTCTGTTGTGTCTTTATATGTACCAGGAGTCATTTCCAGTGAATGTACCTTAATCTGTGCTAATTATGGTTAATTAAAGAACCACATCTTAGTAATAATTAGAGTTTCTGTGTGTTAATGTTTCACGTTGTCTCAATATCTGTGTTTCTTTGTATGGTCCCATGTTTTGTAGCCGCCTCACCATGTTTTTTTGGACTATCCCTTTCACTTTTGTTTGTGTATTTTCCCTTAATACATAAATGAATCATTTGAAGTAGCGTTTTGCTAGATGTATAAAACTTTAGCCACATGAAAACAGGCTGTGCTCCTCACGACAGGACGTTATCCCAACGACAAAATAAGAATATGACATCGGTCCAAAGGCTGGTCTGGACGCTGTGCTCTCGCTTCATAGATGTGGACGGATGAAAAACAGGCGCCTGTAGATTCCCGACACTTGTCTCTACATTTCTCCAACACATGTGACGACTGTCAGCTTCATCAACGAGTCAAACCACAGCAGAGGAGACATTTGTGTAAGCTGTAGTTCCTTCTGTAGCTTCACTCGTTGGATGCTGCTTTATCAAACATGACAGACAGAGGTTTTTCTGGATACTGATGTTTGTTGACAGACGGCTCCGGAAGCGTTCATGCTAACGCCCTCACATGCTAACTCCGCCTCCTCCAGTGACCGCTGCCGTCGGCTCTGATCCTGGACTCTTCGGGACTCCAGCTGTGTTCACACCGACGCAATATCAGCACTATCTATCTCATCGACCTTCTGCTGTGATGGAGAAACACAGGAAGGAGCTAGTGGGCGGAGCTTAAAGAAGTGGAGGGCGGAGCTTAAATAAAGGGTGGGTGGGGCTTAAGGAAGTGGTGGGCGGAGCTTTGATGCTAACAAGTTTCAATGAAACATTAGCATCACTTATTAACAGTCAGAGGAGAAACTCGGAGTGAAGACGTGTTCACAAGCACTGACCCCACCGTCAGTCCTGGTTTAGTCCTGGTTTAGTCCTGGTTTAGTCCTGGTTTAGTCCTGGTTTAGTCCTGGTTTAGTCCTGGTTTAGTCCCGGTTTAGTCCTGGTTCAGCCGCATCATGATCTGGTGGGAACACAGCTTTGTAGAAATCAGACGCTGCACTTTAGCACGTTAGCCATTTAGCATGTTAGCTCTTTTGTACTTTAGTCCTTTAGCAGGTTAGCACTTTATCATTTTAGCACGTTAGCACAGCGGCTCACCCGGCACGACGTCCCTCCGCTCCAGGATGGCGCTGCTGCTGGAGCTGGGTTTGCGTCCCGTGGCTTGGGTCCGTTGCCGCGGTAACGTGGAGGAGCCCTGGGCTTTCGACGGAGACGATGGCACCGAGCGGACCATAGGGGGCGACATGGAGCCCTGCAGCATGTGGCCGCCGTACAACAGCTCCTTCGAGATCTGCAGAAACACAAGAATCAGGTGGGTCTGCAGCCTCAATCCTGGGTCTGCAGCCTCAGTCCTGGGTCTACAGCCTCAGTCCTGGGTCTGCAGCCTCAGTCCTGGGTCTGCAGCCTCAGTCCTGGGTCTACAGCCTCAGTCCTGGGTCTACAGCCTCAGTCCTGGGTCTGCAGCCTCAGTCCTGGGTCTACAGCCTCAGTCCTGGGTCTACAGCCTCAGTCCTGGGTCTACAGCCTCAGTCCTGGGTCTACAGCCTCAGTCCTGGGTCTACAGCCTCAGTCCTGGGTCTACAGCCTCAGTCCTGGGTCTACAGCCTCAGTCCTGGGTCTACAGCCTCAGTCCTGGGTCTACAGCCTCAGTCCTGGGTCTACAGCCTCAGTCCTGGGTCTACAGCCTCAGTCCTGGGTCTACAGCCTCAGTCCTGGGTCTACAGCCTCAGTCCTGGGTCTACAGCCTCAGTCCTGGGTCTACAGCCTCAGTCCTGGGTCTACAGCCTCAGTCCTGGGTCTACAGCCTCAGTCCTGGGTCTACAGCCTCAGTCCTGGGTCTACAGCCTCAGTCCTGGGTCTACAGCCTCAGTCCTGGGTCTACAGCCTCAGTCCTGGGTCTACAGCCTCAATCCTGGGTCTGCAGCCTCAGTCCTGGGTCTACAGTCTCAGTCCTGGGTCTACAGCCTCAGTCCTGGGTCTACAGCCTCAGTCCTGGGTCTACAGTCTCAGTCCTGGGTCTACAGCCTCAGTCCTGGGTCTACAGCCTCAGTCCTGGGTCTACAGCCTCAGTCCTGGGTCTACAGCCTCAGTCCTGGGTCTACAGCCTCAGTCCTGGGTCTACAGCCTCAGTCCTGGGTCTACAGCCTCAGTCCTGGGTCTACAGCCTCAGTCCTGGGTCTACAGCCTCAGTCCTGGGTCTACAGCCTCAGTCCTGGGTCTACAGCCTCAGTCCTGGGTCTACAGCCTCAGTCCTGGGTCTACAGCCTCAGTCCTGGGTCTACAGCCTCAGTCCTGGGTCTACAGCCTCAGTCCTGGGTCTACAGCCTCAGTCCTGGGTCTACAGCCTCAGTCCTGGGTCTACAGCCTCAGTCCTGGGTCTACAGGTCTCTCTCTGACTTCAGTGTTTGGTGAAAGAGAAAACACAGAATGACTCAAAGACAAATCTATGTCAAAACAATGTTCAGCAACTCATGAAACTGGAGACGACTAACAGACTGAGACACACACACAGAGAGAGACACACACACAGACACACACACACAGAGACACACATACAATCAGAGACACACACACACACACACACACACAGAGATACATACAATCAGAGACACACACACACACACACAGAGATACATACAAACAGAGACACACACACACACACAGAGATACATACAAACAAAGACACACACACACACACACACACACACACACACAGAGATACATACAAACAAAGACACACACACACACACACACACACACACACAGAGATACATACAAACAGAGACACACACACATAGACTGGACTGAGACTGAGGCCAGACCCTCACAGTCTCTGAGCCTCGTCAGAAGTTTCAGAGCAATCGCTGGAACAAGCTGTTCACAGCTGTCAGAGAGAGACCAGAGAGAGACCAGAGAGAGACCAGAGAGAGACCAGAGAGAGACCAGAGAGAGACTAGAGAGAGAGACCAGAGAGACCAGAGAGAGACCAGAGAGAGACCAGAACGAGACCAGAGAGAGACCAGAGAGACCAGAGAGAGACCAGAACGAGACCAGAGAGAGACCAGAGAGAGACCAGAGGGAGACCAGAGAGAGACCAGAGAGAGACCAGAGAGAGACCAGAGAGAGACCAGAGAGAGACCAGAGAGAGACTAGAGAGAGAGACCAGAGAGACCAGAGAGAGACCAGAGAGAGACCAGAACGAGACCAGAGAGAGACCAGAGAGACCAGAGAGACACCAGAACGAGACCAGAGAGAGACCAGAGAGAGACCAGAGGGAGACCAGAGAGACCAGAGAGAGACCAGAGAGAGACCAGAGAGAGACCAGAGAGAGACCAGAGAGACCAGAGAGACCAGAGAGAGACCAGAGAGAGAGACCAGAGAGAGACCAGAGAGACCAGAGAGAGAGAGACCAGAGAGAGACCAGAGAGAGACCAGAGGGAGACCAGAGAGAGACCAGAGAGAGACCAGAGAGACCAGAGAGAGACCAGAGAGAGACCAGAGAGAGACCAGAGAGAGACCAGAGAGACCAGAGAGACCAGAGAGAGACCAGAGAGAGACCAGAGAGACCAGAGAGAGAGACCAGAGAGAGACCAGAGAGAGACCAGAGAGAGAGCAGAGAGAGAGACCAGAGAGACCAGAGAGAGCAGAGAGAGACCAGAGAGAGACCAGAGAGAGAGACCAGAGAGAGCAGAGAGACTGACCCTGGGCTCTGGTCCTGGGTCTCTGGTGAACAGTTTGAGGCAGCTCTGAGCAGAGATGGACCTGAAACAGAAGGTTTTACTTTTTAACAATAAACATTTGTTTAAACTTCATCCGATTCAAAAGGAGGAGCTCGAGGTAGAGCCGCTGCTTCTGCAGGTCACGAGAAGTCAGCAGAGACAAGGTCCTGGAGAGTGGTACCTGAGGTCCTGGAGAGTGGTACCTGAGGTCCTGGAGAGTGGTACCTGAGGTCCTGGACAGTGGTACCTGAGGTCAGGGAGAGTGGTACCTGGGGTCCTGGAGAGTGGTACCTGAGGTCCTGGACAGTGGTACCTGAGGTCAGGGAGAGTGGTACCTGGGGTCCTGGAGAGTGGTACCTGAGGTCCTGGACAGTGGTACCTGAGGTCCTGGAGAGTGGTACCTGGGGTCCTGGACAGTGGTACCTGAGGTCCTGGAGAGTGGTACCTGAGGTCCTGGACAGTGGTACCTGAGGTCCTGGAGAGTGGTACCTGGGGTCCTGGACAGTGGTACCTGAGGTCCTGGAGAGTGGTACCTGAGGTCCTGGACAGTGGTACCTGAGGTCCTGGAGAGTGGTACCTGAGGTCCTGGACAGTGGTACCTGAGGTCAGGGAGAGTGGTACCTGGGGTCCTGGAGCAGGCGGTAGTGGGCGTGGCCGTGGTCCCGGATGCAGACTGATGTGTGCGGAGACTGAAGAAGCCGGACGCTGATCTGGGGGAAGGTGCGAAGGAAGAGGGCGCGCAGGGCGGACATGTCCTTCAGCTCGGAGCTCACATACACTTGCCGAGTGTCCTCCCCCAGCTGCAGGTACACCACCCCCAGCCCCCTGTCTCTGCTGGGGGAGGAGTGGGGGAGGGGCAGGCTGGAGCGCCCCCTGCTGCCTCGGCTGAAGCCCACAGAACATCTCTGCTCTTCTGTCATGACGTCATCAAAGTCCACCTCCGTCAGGAACCCAGCAGGGGGCGCTGTACCTCTGCTCATCTGCAAAACACAGGGACCACAGTCTGTACCTATGCTCAGCTGCAAAACACAGGGACCAGATTCTGTACCTCTGCTCAGCTGCAAAACACAGGGACCAGAGAGAGAGACCAGAGAGAGACCAGAGAGAGACCAGAGAGAGACCAGAGAGAGACCAGAGAGAGACCAGAGAGAGAGACCAGAGAGAGAGACCAGAGAGAGAGACCAGAGAGAGACCAGAGAGAGAGACCAGAGAGACCAGAGAGAGACCAGAGAGAGACCAGAGAGAGACCACACACAGGAGCACAGTTATTCAAAAACCCTAAAGTTTTATATTAAAAAAAACTATGCATTGTCATGGTGGAAGGAGCTGGTCTTGGGTCTGGTCCTGGTCCTGGTCCTAGTCCTAGTCCTAGACCTAGACCTAGACCTAGACCTAGACCTAGACCTAGACCTAGTCCCAGCCCTGGTCCTGGCCCGGATCCTGGCCCTGGTCCTAGTCCTGGTTCTGGTCATAATCCTGGCCGTGGACCTGGTCCTGGCCCTGGTCCTAGTCCTGGTTCTGTTCCTAATCCTGGCCCTGGTCCTGGTCCTGGTCCTAGTCCTGGTCCTGGTCTTGGGTCTGGTCCTGGTCCAGGTCTTGGTCCTAGCCCTTGTCCTGGCCCTGGTCCTAGTCCTGGTAGTTACCGTGTTTTCAGGCGCCTGCAGCAGACATGTCGCGTGTGGCATTTCCCTGAAGTCAAACAGACTCCACTCCCAGAGTCTCCTCCTGTAGACCTGATCCAGACCGGATCCAGTCCGACCGGTTCAACCCGCCCTGAGGCCCCAAGACTGGGCAAGATCAGCAACACAGACTACAAGGACTTTATCTGTCTGCTGTCGGATCAACAGGAAGCTTTTCATAGTATTATTGTTAATAATAATAATGATAATAATAATAATAATAATAACTAGCCATTTTAGCCGTTGCTATGCAGCGGTTGCTATGCAGCGGTTGCTATGCAGCGGTTGCTATGCAGCGGTTGATATGCAGCGGTTGATATGCAGCGGTTGATATGCAGCGGGTGATATGCAGCGGTTGATATGCAGCGGTTGATATGCAGCGGTTGCAATGCAGCGGTTGCTATGCAGCGGTTGCTATGCAGCGGTTGCTATGCAGCGGTTGATATGCAGCGGGTGATATGCAGCGGTTGATCAGCAGCGGTTGATATGCAGCGGTTGCTATGCAGCGGTTGCTATGCAGCGGTTGATATGCAGCGGGTGATATGCAGCGGGTGATATGCAGCGGTTGATATGCAGCGGTTGATATGCAGCGGTTGATATGCAGCGGTTGCTATGCAGCGGTTGCTATGCAGCGGTTGCTATGCAGCGGTTGATATGCAGCGGTTGATATGCAGCGGGTGATATGCAGCGGTTGCTATGCAGCGGTTGCTATGCAGCGGTTGCTATGCAGCGGTTGCTATGCAGCGGTTGATCAGCAGCGGTTGATATGCAGCGGTTGATGTGCAGCGGTTGCTATGCAGCGGTTGCTATGCAGCAGAGTGACCTCTGTCTGTCTGTGTGTGTCTGTGCGTCTGTGTTTGTCTGTCTTTGCGTCTGTGTGTGTGTGTTGTGTGTGTCTGTGTGTGTGTGTGTGTGTCTGTGTGTGTGTTATGTGTTCCACTCACAGACACAGTGGTGTTGTGTAGAGCCGTCTCTCTCTGCTGCCCCCTGTGGGTGTGGAGCTGGTTGCGAGGTAGAGTATTGGGGGAACTGGGAGCCGATCTGAAGACTGTCCCTGGTTTGGAGGAGTTGCAGGAGGAGGTGGAGGAGGAGGTGCAGGAGGAGGTGGAGGAGGAGGTGCAGGAGGAGGTGGAGGTCTGGTACTTCCTCTGCAGCAGCAGCTCTGGGTTTGCGTACAGATCTGCCAGTGACACTGTGGACATCATACACTTTATTACAGACATGTTCTGCACCAGATTATAGCTACAGCTCATTTCCATCTCCTGCAGAAAAACAGCCCCAACACATGATGTTTCCACCCCCATGCTTCACAGTCAAACTAGTGCTTCAACCCTTTCTGCCAAAAGAACACATTATTATTTATAAAAGACAAGACAAGAAATGAGGCACACAAGTCTCAGTCTCAGTCTCGGTCTCGGTCCTCAGTCCTCAGTCCTCAGTCTCAGTCTCGGTCTCGGTCCTCAGTCCTCAGTCCTCAGTCTCAGCCCTCAGTCTCAGTCTCAGTCTCGGTCTCGGTCTTGGCCACAGTCCTCTGTCTCAGTCTCAGTCTCAGTCTCGGTCTCGGCTCAGTCTCGGTCTCGGCCCTCAGTCCTCAGTCCTCAGTCTCAGCCCTCAGTCTCAGTCTCAGTCTCGGTCTCGGTCCTCAGTCCTCAGTCTCAGTCTCGGTCCTCAGTCCTCAGTCTCAGCCCTCAGTCTCAGTCTCGGTCTCGGTCTTGGCCACAGTCCTCAGTCTCAGTCTCAGTCTCGGTCTCGGCCCTCAGTCCTCAGTCCTCAGTCTCAGCCCTCAGTCTCAGTCTCGGTCTTGGCCACAGTCCTCTGTCTCAGTCTCAGTCTCAGTCTCGGTCTCGGTCCTCAGTCCTCAGTCCTCAGTCTCAGCCCTCAGTCTCAGTCTTGGTCTCGGTCTTGGCCACAGTCCTCTGTCTCAGTCTCAGTTTCAGGCCTCAGTCCTCAGTGGTCCTGACTTCTGAGTCTCCGGAGCTCGGAGGCGTGACCGGGTCAGACTGAGTCCAGCTGAAGGATTGAGTTCAGTTCTGCCTTCAGGGAAAACCCGGCTCCATTTTTATCCATGCGACTGTTCCTACTGTACGTCCTGTAACGAGCTCTGGACCCAGGCAGGTGATGTCACACACTCCTGAGCACAGGGACCAGGATGATGTCACACACTCCTGAGCACAGGGACCAGGATGATGTCACACACTCCTGAGCACAGGGACCAGGATGATGTCACACACTCCTGAGCACAGGGACCAGGGTGATGTCACACACTCCTGAGCACAGGGACCAAGATGATGTCACACACTCCTGAGCACAGGGACCAGGATGATGTCACACACTCCTGACCACAGGGACCAGGGTGATGTCACACACTCCTGAGCACAGGGACCAGGATGATGTCGCACACTCCTGAGCACAGGGACCAGGATGATGTCACACACTCCTGACCACAGGGACCAGGGTGATGTCACACACTCCTGAGCACAGGGACCAGGATGATGTCACACACTCCTGAGCACAGAGACCAGGGTGATGTCACACACTCCTGAGCACAGGGACCAGGATGATGTCACACACTCCTGAGCACAGGGACCAGGGTGATGTCACACACTCCTGAGCACAGGGACCAGGAAGAGCCTCTGTGGACCTTGTGGACCCTGTGTGGGGAAGTGTGGGAGTGGGGGAGTGGGGTGGGGGAGTGGGGGAGTGGGAGTGGGGGAGTGGGGGAGAGACGTTGATCCTCTGTTTATACAGACGTTGATCCTGTGTTTATACAGATGTTGACCCTGTGTTTATACAGATGTTGACCCTGTGTTTATACAGATGTTGATCCTGTGTTTATACAGATGTTGACCCTGTGTTTATACAGATGTTGATCCTGTGTTTATACAGATGTTGATCCTGTGTTTATACAGATGTTGATCCTGTGTTTATACAGACGTTGATCCTGTGTTTATACAGATGTTGACTCTGTGTTTATACAGATGTTGATCCTGTGTTTATACAGATGTTGATCCTGTGTTTATACAGATGTTGACCCTGTGTTTATACAGATGTTGATCCTGTGTTTATACAGACGTTGATCCTGTGTTTATACAGCTGTTGACTCTGTGTTTATACAGATGTTGATCCTGTGTTTATACAGACGTTGATCCTGTGTTTATACAGATGTTGACTCTGTGTTTATACAGATGTTGATCCTGTGTTTATACAGACGTTGATCCTGTGTTTATACAGATGTTGACTCTGTGTTTATACAGATGTTGATCCTGTGTTTATACAGACGTTGATCCTGTGTTTATACAGATGTTGACCCTGTGTTTATACATATGTTGATCCTGTGTTTATACATATGGTGAGCCTGTGTTTATACAGATGTTGACCCTGTGTTTATACATATGTTGATCCTGTGTTTATACAGATGTTGATCCTTTGTTTCTACAGATGTTGATCCTGTGTTTATACAGATGTTGATCCTGTGTTTCTACATATGTTGATCCTGTGTTTATACAGATGTTGATCTGTGTTTATACAGATGTTGATCCTGTGTTTAAACGGATGTTAATCCTGTGTTTCTACAGATGTTGATCCTGTGTTCTACAGATGTTGATCCTGTGTTTATACAGATGTTGACCCTGTGTTTATACAGATGTTGATCCTGTGTTTATACAAATGTTGATCCTGTGTTTATACAGATGTTGACCCTGTGTTTATACAGATGTTGACCATGTGTTTATACAGATGTTGACCTTGTTTTTATACAGATGTTGATCCTGTGTTTCTACATATGTTGATCCTGTGTTTATACAGATGTTGATCTGTGTTTATACAGATGTTGATCCTGTGTTTATACATATGTTGATCCTGTGTTTATACATATTTTGATCCTGTTTTTATACAGATGTTGATCCTGTGTTTATACAGACGTTGATCCTGTGTTTATACAGATGTTGACTCTGTGTTTA